CACTGGGGCCATGTCTAGAAAACTTCGAAAAATCTTGAGGATCTCATATTTTTTCCGGAATACTTGTCAAATTTTTTATTCACTGAATGAATTTATTTTATGTTTTTTCTGACGTGGCAACATCTGGCGACCCACTGGCCTCAGGCGCACTAGACTAATTGGACATCTTGACCGGATAATTTTGAATGGCGTCTGGGGATAATGGATGTCCGGGATGTGCGGGATTTTTGGTCCTACGGTTATTTTGAAAACTTCTGTCGGGAAAATTATGAGCACTGTCTGTCGGGAAAATAATGAGCACTCTGTCGTATCGAAAATCTTATCGCCGCCCAGAAAATTAATTCTGTCGCGGGAAAATCAAATTTCTTTTCACTTCAGCGACGCGATAAGATTACGATGTCATCATAAGCTAAATTTTCATTTTTTCTAACTGTTTTTGACCGATTTTTTGCCTGAAAATGAAGAATTGGATGCTACAAATGTTGTTTTTCGAATTCAGCGTTCTGAAAAGAGTGCAGAAGATATAAACTCGAAAAAAAGTAACACTCGCCAAAATTTGGAGTAAAAATTTTTGGGTGTAAAAAATTTGCATTAACAGGGGAAGTACCCCAAGTGCGACGCTCAGATTTTGATGAAACTTGGCACAAATTTATAATTATTTTTCTGAAATATATAGAAAGAATCCCATCTCGCGCTTTGCAAAAACAACCGAGATTTTTGGATCAAAAGTCAGCGAAAATTTGACACTTTTTGCTGAATTTCGGCATGAAAAATTTCATGCCTATTTCTACCATTGAGGGTAATGTTTCCACAAAAAATAAGTTTTTTCCGAACAAAACTAGCAAAGTTATGGCCAAAAAATGTTGTTCTCTCTGACCACCCTCCGCGGTTAGTATGATCGGCAAAGATCGTTCAATATCTCGGCGGCGCTTGCAAAGCGCGAGCTAAAACTTTCAGGAATTGATATTTAGTTCATACCCGACATGTGTGCAAAATTTCAAGAAAATCTGAGCGTCGCACTTGGGGTACTTCCCTTGTCAGCAACATTCTGCTCATTATTTTCCCGACATGCTGATAGGTGGGTCAAAAAGTCTTGCCATGTTTTGTTTTTGCGCCTCTAGTACAAATTCAAAAAAGATGTGGTAAAAAATCGCAAGGAGTTCCCAGAAAATGCACAAAATTTTCCACTTTACTTTGTTATTCCATGCCAATTCATGGGTCGGTTGATGAATGACAATAACACATCACTCCCACATTTCCATTTTTGGAAAGGAAAAGCAAGGTAAACAAATTCTTTATTTTGTACATAAGAGGGATCGGGGCATGGTAAAAAGGGAAAAGTTCCTTATTTTGGCAACAAGGGTACTCCGCGAACTGCGCCTAGGCTTGGGCACTAAAGTTAGGAAAAAACGCTTCGACCAGCTGGCACTGAATTACTATAGTAGCTCCATAGTTTTAAGGGTACCCACGAAGGCTATGACGACTCATTTAGTTCCATACGGAGTCAATAAGTTTAGTTCCGGACATGTTTCATCGTATAAAGTGTAAAATCACAGGCTGCAGCCGTTTTTGAAGGGTAAGGTGGTACGTAAAAAAGAAGGTACCTCACTAACTAAATCCACTGTCCGGGCATTGACAACAATGAATTGAGCGTGCACGCTAAATTTGGGCTAATTCCGACCAGTTTCCGCAAAGTTATAAGCTGTGGCCAAAATAAGGAACTTTTACCGGTAAAAAAAACGGCGTCTCTTAGATAATGCCAAATGATTTATTCTACAGTAGAAGAAAAGCAAAATTTCCAGTAATTTTTGAGCAAAAACTTCGGTCGTTTCTGCTATACGCGAGTTAGGAATCTCGTACATTTATATGCAAAAAATGGAAGAAATCTCAAAAAATATGAAACCAATACTTTCCCCGTCACTTAATGAATATCAAAATGATGTTTTGACCCGGACCCAGTCTCCTCCCTTCCTTCATCTCCCATCCAAACACGTCATTTACAAGCCGCTTCAATTGGCCGACGCCTGTTTCCAAAAATGCCCACTAAAAATAACCCTCCGTATTTCTGCTTTTGGACATCAAAAAGCTGGCGCTGAAACTGTCTTTAGACTCAAATACGAATTGAAGGGAATTTAGAAGACCAAAAATTTATTTCGAAGCACACTCAGATGTTTTTTGGCTTTCTTTTTTGGGGGTTTTCCGACAATGGATCACATGGTTTGAGGCCAATTTGGGGGAATTGTTGGGGAGAACGTGAAAATTCTTTCTTTATTTTTTCGGTTAAAGAATGAAAAATTGGCATTTGCATTTACAAAAAAAAATATTTTTGCCTTGGTCCCCCCTTACTGTTTTTTGAAAAATTTCCCATCCTGAATTTTCCCCAAGCTTTGCGGCTATACTATTTATAAATCGTCCCCTTATTAATCCCTAAAAATTTTAGCCTGCACTTTCGTTCTGCAGCAGACAAATTCAACGATCTTTCTTCCAAACAACAAAAAAAAGTGAAAACATTATTTTTATATGTCCTATTAATTGTCTTGCCGGAAGGGACAAAGGACTTTGCCAGCGACAAAAACATGGTTAATTAAATCCAGACAAAGAGGGTCCTTAATAGCTCAAGCAACGCCAAACTGTGTAAAACGGGCCATAAAAGATCAAGAAAACTGTGGGGACTAGTCAAAAAAAAGAGCTGTTTCTTAACACCAACCGTTACCAGTGTCTAACACCTCTAACCGGCTAGTTACTACATTTAAAAAATAATCCAATTTACTATCTCAATTATATTATATTTCAGATATTTCCATAGATTTATTTCTCTCGCATTAAATTTAATTATGGTAATCAAATTTTTCGAAAAACAGCCAAAAGTCGTGTTGGAAATAAAGATTGTAAAACACATTCGAAAACACATTCTTGAGTCGTTTTAAATGTCACAACTTTGAGTTTGGAACACGCAACAAATTGCCATAGCGACTCAAAAACACACATGAAAGCATCGCTTGTTTGCAGTAATTTTTTGCGGAATGACGGAAGAAAACAGGCCGGTTTTTGCATAATTTGCCTGTTGGCAAGGCCTCAAAGAACAAGTGGCCAAACGTTTTTCTACATTTTAAATTGAGGACAAATTAGGAAGAGAAAAAAATTGAAGGCAAAAAATTCGGTAGCCAAAAGTTGAAGAGTTTAGCTAAAACTTGGAAAAATTGGACTTATTGTGAGAAAATTACAAAAAAAAATATTTTTTTATTTTTAAAAGTCAGTGTTTCTGCAAAAACATGATTTTTTGGAAAAAAATTTGCATCGGCATGTTCGAAAAAAGTCAAAAAATGATAAAAAAAAATTTGAATTCTCCCCAAAAAATGGGTTTTCAAACCCATAATTTTTCATTTTATACGATTTTCATCCGAAAAAATTCGAAATTATTCGAAATTATCAATCTTCTAAAAAATCCAAAAATTTTTCAAAAAGCAGCTTCGGATAGGGGCGCATTTTCATCATCCAAGAAGTACGCTGAACTATGCTATGCATGTTCCTCATCAGCATTTCCGTGGCAGCGAGAGTCGAACCTGCTTCCTTTCGAATGCCAGGCAGACCCGCCAACCACTGAACTAACAAAGCAAGTCCGTTGGGTTTCTTCTTTTCTCTTCGAAATGAAAAGAGAAACGTTTTTTGGGAAGCAAGTGGGTTTTTATGGGTTTCTTCTCGATTTTGATCGATTTTTGGGGGAAAATATGGAAAAAACTGAATATGTCGGGAAAATAATCGGCACGATGCCGAATCGGAAATGAATTGTGTCGCGAAAAAAACCAAATTTATTTTCACTTCAGCGACGCGATTGGCACAGCGACATTGTGCTCATTATTTTCCCGACAGAGTGGCTGGAATGTCAAACTGATTAAAACGACTAACTACAATGCTAAAAGTAGCAAGAAAAAAAGTTAATAAACTCGTCAGTTTTACTAAATGATGATACAAAGAGCAAAAAACACAAAGCCACAAATTCGACATATATGTAATAATAATAGGACATGTAAAGGACAAAAATCTGTCTAAAATAACTTCAAAAGGAGAAATTCAAAATGACGTCTTCAATTTGTCAACACGGCAAAAAGCCAAGCGATAATTCTTTCATCTATAAATATACCCAACAAAAATTGCAAGGAGCATGTTTCGGTTGGGCTAAAAATAAGACTTCTTTTGGTAATTAACCATTCCTGCAGTCCAGATTAGCCGAATGGAATGTAAATCCGATTTCCTTATGCCTTAACGGCCCAATTCAGCTACTTTTGAATGTTTACGGGTTGGGAAACGAGTGTCAACGAAAAATTTTTTTTGTGGTTGTTGTTGTATGTGTCAACCCAAGAATTTTTTGAGCACTTTGTCTACGAAGCCGCAAAATATCCATTAAGTAGCTGTACTGTTAAAATTGGTGTTAACAGACAGCATAAATGCTGCAGCCAGAAATTTGAAAACAATTCTAATCGAAAATATTCCTATATGGTTCATTTCTGAGCCTAAAAAATAATGAAAAATTAAATTTTCAAAAAAAACTAAAAATGATTCGTATTTTACAATGCCAAGCCATATATCACAAAAATAGATTGTGACATCAAAACCGTGAACTATGGCTTCAAAAACTGGAAAATTTTCGTATTTTTCCAACATCTGCCCAACGTACTCACAAAACTCCCACATGTGACAAGAAAACTTCAGTCCGCTTTAACACCACTTTCAATTAAAATTTGCGTGACAACCGCTTGCTTCTAGTAGCTTCGAAAAGATTTTATATATAATTTTGCACAGTGAAAAAGCCAATGGAACTTTGAGCTTGTACTTTTGAAAGTAACTATGGTAAATTTAGTCTATTCTGGGCGTTGTTAATCATCTTTTAAATTGTTGTTTGTTTATGAGATAGACAGTAAATTCAGTGAGTATGACGTGTAGCTGCAGCATCCACTTTGATTTTTGTTGTTCAAAATTTGTATGCAACAAAATGAAAAAATTTACCTGCATCGTCGTTGTTGCTTGTGAATGGAGGAGAGTGATCGCAGAGAGGCGGAAAATTGCGGAGCAGCGGCTAATTCTGAAACAAATTTTTTTGCTGAAGCGGTTTTTTCGACAGTTTGTCTACCCAAGCTCGAATGTTCAAAAAAATTATTCTTATCAGTCTGTCGGAAAAATAATGAGGATTTTTTGCAAGTTGGAGTTACCCGTCATAGATTTTCGATGGCTAACCGCGGCGGGAAATTTGGCTGATTTCGACGTGACGAGACATTTTGCTGCGAAAAATCCACATTATTTTCCCGACAGATTGATAGTTGCCCCATCTATTCTTGGCTATTGAAAAAATAGAAAAATTATTTTCAAACTTGAGAAATTATAATAATATCAAGGTTAGATTGCAGTTCTAAACTCAAAAACACCGAATCAAAAGCACACTCACGATCGTTGAAGGTCAACAAAACTCCATGATCCCTCGAATGCGTCCCATTTTTCAGTTGACCTTCCAGCTTCGAATTTCTCTGTCGATCCTTTGGACTGAGCCTCAACACATCGAACGCGTTCAAATCAACCGAACTTCCGACTGAATTGTCATGAACTAAACGGCCTTCCGGATCACATCTGTTTCGGCGCTCGATTCCTGAGGGTTTCAGCGTAACCAACGCTGTCTCGTGAAGACCTGTGAGATTGCATGACGGAGATGATATTGAGGCATGCATCGCTGGAAAAGGACATTACCAGAATGTTGCTTTATGGAGTTGTATGTGCAGAACGCGAAATATTAGGTTGAGTCAAAATTATCCGGCGGTTTTATTGGCGCTTTTTATGTAAGTTAAAATTTGCGTTTTGTTAATGTTTTTTTAATAAAAATTATCTTTACTATTTAGTTAATAAAATGTGTTTCGAAAACCATACTCTTATCCGCCGTATTATGCTCTACCATTTCGAGAAAGGTTGGAAGTCGGCACAGTCATTTTGCGATCTCAACGAACTTTTCGGCGAAGGAAAAAAATCGGCAGGTGTTTCGTCCAAAGGAGTACCAAAAGACGTCCACTGTAAGAAGGCTACGTGGTATGTGTGGTGGGACAGAAGCGGAATCATCCACTGGGAAATCGTGTCTATTTTTTGTTCCTTCGCCGAAAAGTTCGTTGAGATCGCGGAATGACCGTGCTGACTTCCAACTTTTCTCGAAGTGGTAGAGCATAATGTGGCAAATATGAGTATGGGTTTCGACTGCCATGTTACTAACCAACCAGAGAACATTATTTTTATAAAAAAAAGATTAACAAAACATAAATTTTAACTTACAAAAAACGCGCCAATAAAACCGCCGGATAATTTTGACTCAACCTAATAGTAAACGAGGAAGCTCAGATAGATAGGAAAAGGTCGCTTGCGCCAAAATCTGCTAAAGCAAGGATAATTTTTTTGATTGTTTTTCGGCTGTTTTGACTAGCCGAGTCAAGTTGCACACTCGGTCGGAAAAATAGCTCCGCAGCGGAAGCAAAGCGCACGCCTAAACTTGCTGACAAAACAATTCACTTTATCCCCAAATCGATCTTGGCTTGGGACATGAAGATGCACAGACGAAATACTACGTACGGTAGTCGATTATTTACTTAGTGGGAAATATCTCCGCGGTTCCTCAGAGCCGAGAAAATCGGCTTCAAGATATGGACAAAAATTGAAAGATAGGGTTCCCGGAAAAGAACTCGTGAAAAATATTTGAAGCAGTGGTCGAATGTGCGATCGCTTTTTGCGCAGGCGGTCCCATGTGCGCCTCTCTGATTTTCCTTAAGCTTTGCACGCAGGTCGGGCTGACTAATAATTCCTGAAAGTTTTAGCTCGCGCTTTGCAGGTGCCGCCGAGATGTTGAGTGATCTTTTCCGCCGAGAGAGTATGCTAAACGCAGAGAGTGGTCAGAGAGAAAGTTTTTTTGACCATAACTTTGTTAATTTCGATTTTTTAGAAACATTACCCTCTACATATAGTAAAAATAGGCATGAAACTTTTCGTGCCGGAATTTGACAAAAAGTGCCAAACTTTCGTCGACTTTCGATCTTTGAAATTTTGATTGATCCTCAGCGCAAGCTAGGATTCTTGCATATATTTTATAAAAAAACATTCTAAATTTGTACCAGGTTTCATCAAAATATGGGCGTCGCACTTGGGGTACTTCACTTGTTAGAAGTAAAAAAAAAAAACGTTCTTTTATCAAACAGTTCTCCTCATTTTTTATTGTGTTTCGGCCAAAACCATCAACGAATATCCCCGCTTACCCTGGAAAGCGTAAGGAAAAAAATTAGAGCTTACAAATTAGAAAAAAACCGAAAAATTTCGCAGCTCAAGCTCATCCCCAAAAACTTTGCCGACAAACTTAATGTCTGCAAATAAATGTATGTCAACAAAATCACAGACTATTAAGCTGGCACCAAAGGTCAACCGCCTAAACCTTTTTAGCATAATTTCTCAGAACCACAACCTAAACTTGATTAAACCGTCCTTGCGTGCCAAAAACTTAATAAACTCGCGCCCAATGTAATAGACCTCGAGACAGGTGTAAAGGGGGCCATAAAAATACGTGCGCGTTATATAGCACAACATTTTGCATACTTAAAATCAGACTTGGGGAAGTAACTGTATGAAATGGCTGAAAGAAAGTGTGTATTATACGAACGGAGGACGAGTAATTGCAGAGTGCAGTGGCTGGAATTATTTATTGTGTATTAGAAAGCACCATAAACAGTGATGTTCGATATTTACAAGTAAAAGTGCTTTGCAAAGTCAAAAAAAATTTTTTTGAATGTTCAAATAGTTCAAATTTTTTTCCAATTCTTCTATTTATTTTATTCTCAGCACAGTGGCTATAACAAAGCCACATAAGAACAATTAAATTTTTTGCAGTTTCTTTGCAAATCGGGCCCACACATGCGGGCCACCACTTTGCGGGGAGGCTAGAAGAATCACGGAGATTCCGTGGGCATGTTTATAAATCAGCCAACATTTGCTTACAGCAGGAAATTCAAACAATGAATTTGGCAGTTTGATGTTGCTAATTGAGTTTCCTAGTATATAATTGGCTTGAATAGTTGCCATAAGTTAAACCAGGCATTTTTAAAGGTTCAGGGGGATGTTTCACGTACAAATTTCACGTGTGTACCGCCAGCATTAATATTTTTTTGGAAGAGCGTAAATTGGTCCACTGTATCAAAAGTTATGGCCTAAAATGGCCGGCCAAGTCCACAAAAAGTCGCCCGATTCGCCAATCAAAAAGAAGAGGGATCACTCAAGTTACAATTCCTCTTTTTCTTTGCTCTCTCCTCTTTTTGCGTGATGCCGCTAACTCAAGTTAGTGCCCTTTTGTACGTGAAACATCCCCCAGCATTTTGTGAAAACAAACTCGCATAACTTTGAAAACGATGGATTAGTATAATAGATTCTGTACTTATCAGTTCCAGGGATTTGCCAATGCACAATTTCTATCATACTACGTAGATTACGGTTGAAAAAACAGTAATTCAAATCCGTAAAATGTCGGCTGCCCGCAAAGTGGCATTAATTTTTTTGAGCTTTATCAAATTCCGCTTGCGCCAATAAAAGGCTTAGGCCTGGAAGGAAGTTTGCAGATAACCCCCAAAAATTGTCATTTTTTAAGTCAAGCTTTGTAAGCATCAAATATCCTCTAAACGTTGTTTTGCCAACCTACAAGCCGGAAGTTCAGAATCCCTCTAAACCAAAGATCCAATTACTCTTCTGGGCCTTGATGACTCCCTTAATCTCCCTCAAAAATTACCCAGATTAGAAGATAATGTCGTACAAAAAGGTGACAATTTTATCCAAAACAATTTCTATTTATTGCCATTGTAATTTGTATGTAATATAATTGAAATAGCGTGGTTGAGGCGGTAAAAAACCTGAGCGAATTCGCGGAATGACAAAACCTTTCCACCTGGCCGGGAATTGGGATTATTATAGAAAAAGCCAAATGAAGCGGCCTCGCGGAGTTTGAATGAGCGAAAAAGGAAGTTGCATTCGAATTTATTGAGGATTTGCGAATGAAAAGTTCAAAATGTACAGGTTTGTTGGATATGTCAAAGTTGCTACAAACAATATTGAAAAATTGTAACGAAGGTCCATGAAGATGACAGGAAAGTAAAATGAGAGCCGTTCAAGTGGCTACAATTTTTAAAATTAGAAGACTTGTTATTCAAACATTAATGTTTGGTCCGCTCTATCGGGTTGGTTGCAAAAAAATACTAGAAAAGTTATGAGAATGTCAAAAAAATATCTTTGGTTTAAACCTTACTAAATGTAGCAAAAATAGAGGTCTCTGAAGTAACGTTGCGACACTTGCGGGCAGCCGACATTTTCCTATTATTAGAATTACGATTTTCCTTCCGTAATCTACGTAGTATGATAGAAACTTTGCATTGACAACTTCTTAGTACGGATAAGTACACGAATCTATTGAATTCATCACCGCTTTCAAAGTTATGGCCGTTTGTTTTCAAAAAATGGTAAAAATGCCGGGTCAACCTTATGATAACTATTCAAGCCGCTTATACAGTGCCCGACAAAATTATCAATGCACTTTTAAAATCGCTGTAACTTTTGTGGTTGTCAATAAAAATGTGCCAGCTTTGGCTCCAATACGTACTAGTGTACTGTTAAATCCTGCGCCAAAAAATTATTTTTGCATGTTTCCACACCTTGGAAAAAAGTTGAAAAACCGAATTTTTGGTGATTTTCTTTGCGACAAAATTAAAAATTCGAGCAATGTTTTACACCAGGAAAATTAATTTGCAACATCTAACTGTCAAATCCATCATTGATTTTGTGTTTTAGTCAAATGTCGGCCGGTTTGCAAACATACCCGCAGAATCATCATGGTTTTTCTAGCTGCCCGCAAAGTGGTTGCCCGGAAGTGTGGGCCCGCCTTCTGAAGGAGCTATATTGTCTAATAAACGCTGAAGGTTTTAGCATTGAATTTTTATGTTTTGGAGAGAGAGGGAGCGCAAAAAAGAAGCAGAGTCTGACAGAAACAAAAACAGTATTTGACCGTTTTTTTTTTATTTTTTAAACCCGACAAAATTCTATTATAATTTTAGGCAACTTTTGCTCTGAAAATCTCGATGGGTTCTCCAAATTGCATCAAAACGTAAATTTTCTATAAAAAATTGTGATCCACAAGGAATGCGAAACTTTCCATAAAAGTGCAGAGAAAGGTTATTTTTGAGATTTTTTTCCGAAAAGACTCTTTTATATTCTCGCAAAATTTTGCTCTAAATTTGTGCCCAATCTCAGCAAAAATTCAAACCTCAAAAAATGTTTCTAATTCAAAAAAGTGTTCTTCAAAACCTCAAAAGACTAAAAAACGAATTAAAAATCATCTCAATACCCCAATCAGGTCACCAAGAACACAGTAATGACTCTTATTATGTACATAAACTAACAATAGAAACAAATTCCCCGGTTCAAATGTCAAAACTCTCTTTTTTGCGGGCCTGGCACCCTTTTTTATGATTTACTGGAACTGAGTGGCCGAACCAGATGTGGCCGACGGTTCCGCGAAAAAAGTTGTGTGACTGATTATCTGTGCGGTTTTATTGTCGAATTAAACCCGGAGGGGGGTTTTGCGAGAGTTTGCGAAATCCGGCATGTGATGAAAAGTCGCGAAATAAAATGTTTTCTTATGGCATTGAACGGCGGACGTTTGCGAGCGACCACTTTGCGGGCAGCTAAAAAAACCACCGAGATTCTGCGGGCATGTTTGGAAATCAGCCGACATTTGCTTACAACAGGAAATTCAAACGACGAGGAAATTCAAACGACGAGCGACGCCCATTAAAATACGCAATTATAGAATAGACTACAATTTTTTCTAGTTTTTGTCATATTTTTAAAATTGCCGGGCTTCGGCTGAAGAAGAAAGCTGCCGACGAGAGAGTACGGAAAATGTGGAGAGCGGTCAGAGATTGGCAGAGATACGGCTAAAAAATGAAAAATGCTTTTTTTAGACATATTTCTGTCAATTTTGTGCGAAAAAATCTTTTGTCTATCGTAACGTTACCCTCTACAGTAAAAATACAACCAAAGGTTTTCGTGCCAAAACCCGGAAAACAGCTTAAAATTTTGGTCGGTCTTTGGCGTAAGCCTTTGCAAACTCAGATTTAGACTTACGAAAGATTTCACAAGAGTCAACACTTCACTGCCGAGGCACGCTCCCCATAAAAATAATTGAAGGTAAAATTTATGCTATAAAGTAAATACTTACGACAAAAAATTTCAAATTTCAACTCCACGAACAACACGACGTAAAAGTAACTTGAGATGCGGTTAGACAACAAATTCGGCGGAATCGAAGGTCGTTTCCGTTTTTAACCTAAAACTTGGCCTTCTTCGCCTACTCTTTTCAGCCGAAGTTCGGTTTATAGTATGAAAAGGAGAAAAAATAAAAAGAACTTAATTCGAAAATTTGTTCGATTTATTCGAAATAGCCGTTAAAAGCTTCCACGATATTCGCTCTTCAAGTCGGCAAACAAAAAATGCCTCAGGAAAAAGCGTTTCAAACTGCGAAAGCGGAGGGAATTATGCAAAGTTGGCGCATAAAAAAGGCCAATAAGGAGAGGGAAAAGTTAATGTGACAAAAGGATTAGGTTTACGGGGAAATTCGAGTGGCAAAACGGGTGCTTAAAGAAGAAATTTTTTAGATTTTTTTTCAAAAAAAAATTTTTTTTTCTGTACGAGTGTGAACTATGCCTGTGGACTTGTCAAGAGAAAAAAATTCTCAACAGGAAATGTCGATTGTCCACAAATTTTGCATGGCTTTTTTGTGCACATCAAAAATGAGATTGAGTACGGAAAGGTCCGCTGTGCGGAAAGGTCCGCTGGACGGAAAGGTCCGCTGTGCGGAATGGTCCGCTGCGGAATGGTCCGCTAAAAAAAGGAGAGGGGGGGGAGGTTTTCGATGGCGCGGATTTCAAAAATCGTATCCATTTTTTGTGAATTTTACAATTTTGCTTAGGCAGTAGTGTTAATTAGTAATTTTTTAAAAATTGTTTTGAATAATGGATTTAGGGGTTTTCGATGGTGCTGATCTCAAAAATCGTATCCATTTTTTCTGAATTTTACAATTTTGCTTAAGCAGTTGTGTTAGTTAGTAATTTTTTAAAAAATTGATTCGAGTTATGGATTTATTTAGGGATTTTCGATGGCGCATATGCGAGATAACAATGATTGGTCATAAAAGACGTAAGTTATATTCTACTTGGTGTTTTCATTTTTAGGTGTGACTGGTGTCTAATTTATCGATAAAGGAGCTGAAGTTCTGTCTCTCGAGCTGATGGATCGTTCAATAAGTGGAACTGTGCGGTTGGAAAGTCCGTTGGGCAGATTGTTCACGAATATTCAGAGCTGAGAAGTCTAAGTTACCATGAAAAGGATAAAGTCCGGCTGATAACTTCCAATGAAGGCCAGGTCACACTAGTATCCGCTGAATTGGAGGAGGTTGTAAGTCAATGCTTTTTATTTTGTTCAGGCATGAAAAATTTGCTTTATATAGTAATTTATCTTATTTTAGGTATTTATATAGTAATTTGTCTTATTTTAGGTATTGACCAAGATCATGGAATTACTGCGGCTGCTGTCTTTAATGGCTCGACATTGACCATCGAGATCAAGGTAAGTTTTTTAAATGTTTTGTCTTGCTTTAGGGAAGTTCTATCGACAAATGGAGGTAGAGTTCACATCTTATTTTAGGTATTTATATAGTAATTTATCTTATTTTAGGTATTGACCAAGATCATGGAATTAATGATGTATATGCATGCCTTTAATGGCTCGACATTGACCATCGAGATCAAAGTAAGTTTTTTAAATGTTTTGTCTTGCTTTAGGGAAGTTCTATCGACAAATGGAGGTAGAGTTCACATCTTATTTTAGGTATTTATATAGTAATTTATCTTATTTTAGGTATTGACCAAGATCATGGAATTAATGATGTATATGCATGCCTTTAATGGCTCGACATTGACCATCGAGATCAAAGTAAGTTTTTTAAATGTTTTGCCTTGCTTTAGGGAAGTTCTATCGACAAATGGAGGTAGAGTTCACATCTTATTTTAGGTATTTATATAGTAATTTATTTTATTTTAGGTATTGACCAAGATCATGGAATTAATGATGTATATGCAAATCTGACAAATCGCTTATTACGCTATCGTGGCTACACTCTTCTCCATCTGAAAATGTATCAACACTTTCAGATGATGCATTTGATTCGTCTTCTGATTGCACTTCAATTGGGATCTTATGATTGGGCTTTTTCTCAAGTGTGGATTCACTGTTAATTATAAATTTATTTGTGGCAGATCTGTATAAAATGAAATGTTGTTAAGACGTCTTTTAAAGTAAGGAATGGCGATTAAACAATGTCGCACAATTTTTTTTGACATTGGATTAGACGGGCGTTTAACATCTCTTTCTCAAGTTCCAGTCGAATCGATCTGGCTGTGGTTGGGTTTATGAGTTGTAGCATGAGGCAAACGTCTGGGACAAGCGACGAAGACGCCTAAACAAAGAAAACGTATAGTAAAAAAGCGTTAACCTACCAGGGATTTTCGAACAAGTAAAGCTCCTGAGAAAAAACGAGATGCACACGCGAAGAGCCACCACGTTGCGAAGGCAGAGATGAAGAAGGTTAACAAAAACATTGCATGATTTTCGGATGCAATACAATTGTGCACATAACGTTGTACTTTGTTTGGCTGGCTTACTCTAGTGTACTCGCAGGCCGCATCCTGTAATCGTAAACGCTTAGTTTTCGAATAAGAAACTCTAATAAAGTCCTTAAATTTAACTTACGGGTGAAAAAATCACCGGGATTTCGCGGTGCTGGATGTTGATTACGTAGTCGACTATTTCGAGTACAAGCTGCAGAGATATTGGCTGGCGCGTAAACAGAAAGCTGATAACTTGAATATTGAACATGGCTATTAGTACGTTAGCCATTCTTTTTACCAAAAACATGATGCAGAAGTATTTCCTTCCTAAAAATGCAAAAGTACAGCGGTGGCATATTGAGTACATTAACATACCCTCGTAAAGCATGATGTGACTTATCTTTTCAAGGAAATTGGAAGACTCGACATTGTCTAAATTTCGAAGCAGATTGACGGCAGCTTTACCTAGAAAATCTAGTTTTCCGTTATTATTACCGGCCTACCTTGCACAGTGAGTGGGCCGAAGGTGAGGTTGATGATGACTATTGAAAAAGAACTGTAAAACATATAATGGTAGAAGTAGTTGTAGTGGTATGCTTTAGTGGTGAATTTCAAGTTCTCTTTTTCCCGTCTGACAAGCAGGAAGTCTCGGGCGTAACATCGTTTGCTGACTTCGTATCCATTGAAGGGCTAAAATGAACGTAATCAGGTAAGTTTCCAAAACGGATCGAATAACTTGGATCGCTAGTATTTGGTAATAAACACTTTCCGAACACCAACTTTGCAAAAAATTACTAAAATAACATGGATGCTTACGTTCGTCTGCTGTGTTTCGCATTCAATCTTCGTGTTTCTTGCTGATGGCCAAAACAGCATAGCAGACAGGATGGCCATTGAGATAAGGACTTCTATACCCGCACCATTGTATCTAACTTCAGCTCGATTCCCGCCTCTCCGCCAAATATCAAAAATAACATTCATCTCTATCAAAAATCAACCTAATCGTCAGTCAGGCCCACAATGCAAATCAGGTTCTCCTCGAACTTCTCCGGTGAGTTTGGAAGTTTTTTTAAACGGGCCGGTGACGCCCTAAGATTTGTCTAAGACAGAATAAATTAAAGAAAACGTTGATTTGAATATCCGCCTTCTTTGTTTCCCTGGTTTAACTGTCTGAGACGAAAGTTCAAGGAAGGCTGAGACTAACTACTGTACAGAGTCTCAGTGCATTTTTCCGGGTGGCTACTGTTAATTCCTTTTTAATTCAAAATTTTTCTTTGATCGGAGGGGTAATAGTAATACCGTAACCCTTATTACAGATGAACAACAACCCGTTCCCCAAACCCGAAACCTGTCAAAAGCAGCGTATTCCTATGATTGTTCGTGGTCCCATTCCCGATGCTCCGAAAATGATTGATCTACTCGGCGATAATGAAAGTGTGGTCTCCGGGAGTATTCCATCTGTTCACTTAAGTGAATTTGACACAGAATCTTCCGAACAGGTTGGAAGTAAGTATAAAATGGACACAATTATGGCACCATCAATATTTATTGCAATATTAATTTACAGATCTCGAAAGACCTGATCGACAAACCAGTAATCATAACACCTCATCTGAATTTTTAAACACGATGGCTTTACAAATCGGGGAGGGATTTGGCATCTCTAAAAGCGTCTTTGACAACTCGAGTATGTTACAACTGGCTCAAAAGAAGTCAGAATCCCTTCGAATGTCCTGCATGGAGAGGCCACCACCGACGTTGGGGTATCCAGCTGAAGTAAAGGAAAAGGTAAACTCTTTATTTGTGATTAAGTTTTAAGCTTAAAATTTCCAACTTGCCTTCCATTGTGACGGATGTATTGTACCGTATATTCAGGTTCCGCCGATCCCATACATATCTGACTCTTTGAACGAAATCGCCCAAAAAAGGATCATAGCTTTGGCACTCCAAGAACCCCAAGATACCTCCAACTCTGAAAATATGATTAACGATGAAGAAGATGCTGAGAGTGCAAACAGTACAGAACAAGATGTAGAATTTTTGAAGAACCTAGCTTCCCGGTACAAAGCCGCGCCCATACTGTTACATGGGGAAGGAAATGAAATGTGGTTAACCAATGGGAATATTTGTGATTTTTTACGCTTAGCTATAATGACGGGGAAGAGCACGGCAAACGTAGGGCTCGTCGATCCTTTCCTTTTCCAAAAAAAGACAGACGGTACTTTTATTGTTCCTAAGGAAAACGCGGACGACTACATTTTCAATAAAACCGAAAATTTAACTTCATTGGTAATCCCCTACTTAAAAGACAACTCACATTGGACCCTGTTCTTCTTTCATAAACGAAAAGATGAATCAGAATTGACCTTCTACGATAGCTTTAATAATGCGGTTAAACCAGATGACGCAGAAATCGTCCAAGATTTTGTTCAGCGGAGTTTCAATTGTCAAGTGAAATGCACACAAATAAGGCTCCCTCCAAGTCTGTGTCAAAGTGATCCGGTAAACTGTGGCGTCTATGTGGCCAAGATAGCAGAAAATCGAATTCGATATGGCACAAAATTGCCACCGAAACACGAAGGTAACTTAAAGTAAAATTAAAACATTAAACAAATTTTCAAAATTGAGCTTAGTTATAGGAACCTTCGCGTTTAAAAACCTTGTAATTTCAGCGTTTGATGTCAAGATGTATCGAAAATATATGCAACAAACATTGAGTATGGTTACTGAAAAATGGGGAAAGGAGGACAACACGAGAAGTGGAGTTGAGAAAATACAACAAGGTACCATTTCAAGCACTGTTGTTGGTAAATCACCAGTGAAAATGGCAGAGAACTCTGAGGCGATGCCGCGTCTGAAGAAGCGACTGGTTGGTTTTTTTAAAATATTTAATATGTAGACAATTAATTTTAGAAAATTATAAAAAAGGCGGTGACACCAAAGAAATCAAAAAATGAAACATCAAAAGGATTGCTTGACATGCACACAACCCTTTCAAGCATTGACGAAGATGAGGAATATTATACCCAGACGTCAACCTCCGCCGAATGTAAACCAAAATCAGGTATGGTGATAAATAAAAAATAAGGTATTGCACAAAACTGCAAAATTTTGTCTTTTCAAAATAGCTGAGATTTAAAGCCATGTCACAACGCAGTCGCTTTCAGAAAGTGCCCCGGTTCGTAAACTGAAAGACAAAATCGGGTCCGCGTACGTTGACGGATGTGAAGACCCGGAAAATTTGAAAAAAGTACCATATTTCCAACCTGTTATGTCCCAATTACAACATGTTGATGAACTGGATCACAATACGGTGTTAACGGAGTCAGTGAAATATAATGGGCACGTCTTCAAATATATAAGAAAAGAAAAAAAAGGAGATGCTGAATATTTTTGCTGCATGGAGTGTAGAGCCGTACAACGAAAAGCGAACCGCAACAAAGAAAGACTAAAGTTCTGCCTAAGGGTCTGTTTAACATATTTCATTAAAGACACAACTTTAGACATCAAAAGTTGAACTGGATGAAAACGGAAATAAGATGTTTAAGCCCAATCCCGATGACGTAGAACACGCTTGTCTAAAAGAAGAAAATGGAATGTCCATCCTCGAAAGGTATACGGTTCAAGCAAAAAGGTAAGTGTAATAGAAAAGTTTAATAAACTTTATTAGGAAAGTCATCGACGATATGCGCAATATCCCGATGACAACAGAGATGGCAAAAAAAAATGTTGTTCAAATCATCAAGTCAAAATTTGAGCCTTTGGAATTGTTTAGCCGGGCATACGGAACTTTATTGAAAGGGAGGTTTTCAAGAACAGTCGCAGAACATACCAAAATCAAAAACGGCAAAGACGTTACCCCCTACGTTATTCCCGAAGAGTTCCGAGCAAGTGTTATTTCGTAGAATTCAAAAATCGCTTTAGGTATCTTCTGTCGAGAGAAACGGAGTCGGAAATGAACAATTACCAAACAAAATCATCCAATATGTCCAAACTGATGAGAACAAAGAGCCCATGGTCATAATGGCAAACTGTCACACTCTTCGCTCATTGCTAGAGTGTGACTATATAACCTGCGACGGGACTTTTAATTATAGTCCCCGCGGCTTTTCGCAGGTATATAACATTCGAGCGGTATTTACGGAATTTCCAACCAAACAAATTGCCTACTGTGGAGGTGAGTAGAAAATACCATCCTAAAAACTTTTTTTAGCTATCTTCTTTTTGGCTTCAAAGAAAGAATCGACTTATGTGAAAGCTTTTGAAGAATTAAATAAGGCTTTAAAAAGAGAATTTGGACGAACCCTGGAATCAAAACCGGTGATTACTGATGAAGAGTTGGCTGCTATAAATGGAATCAAGAAAGTATTTCCTTCGTTAAAACATTTTTTATGTTATGTTCATCTATGCCGAAACGTTTTAAAGCACATGAGGTAAGATTTTAGAATTATTTTAACAAGAGTTTCTCCTTTCAGCAATATAATCAGCGTGCTTGTAAACTCATTCATAAGTTTGATGTTTTCAGACAAGTCATTCCAGCCCGATATTTGGAACTCCCGCAAGTCAAGAATTGGCGTTATAAAATATATGGTCTTGCGTTCGTGCCGAAACGGGTGATGAAAAGAGCAATACATGAACTTGCCAAGGAAGCTGAACTACTTCCGATACCTAACGCGAACAGCGAAGAGATTTTTGACTTCACAAATTATGTGGCAACCTTATCTGAACGAATAACGGTAAGATTATTGATTTAAAAAGGGATAAATTGCTTAAATCTTAGAACACGTTCTACGAAAATACAGAAGTTGGACGCACAGGAAATAACGCCGAGGGTTTTCACTCAGGCCTCGACAGAAGGTTCCATAATAACAACCACCCGATGGTGGCTCTAGCTGTATCCACGTTCACTGACGCGATTGATGCGGACTCAGCAAATTACCTCAGGTTCGCTGAAGAAAACGAAAATAGACCTGATGGCGAACCTCGTATTGGACTCCATAAACGCCAGGAAAAATATGCGATAAAAGATTTAGCCATACAAAAGGCAAATTTGATGTTGAAGGAGAAAGAACAATCAACAACTCCTCCAACTATTTTTGAATATCTCAAGTAAGTTTAAATATGATACATGAAGACATAAACCAAAAAAGGTGGCTTTAAAAATGTTTCCCTTGCAGGTACGGCCAGCAAGTTGCCTTCATGTGCGCTTTGGATGGACGGAAAATTGCTGATGAGAAAAAATTAAAACGAAAAAGGAAACAAGCCGTCCAAAAGAGGCTAGCTTGCTTTGAATTTTTGCAGGCCGATGCCGAAAAGAAGGAAACAGACGCGCCAGATGCGGCTCCACAATCGATGCCAAACCAAAGCCTTTATTCGCGTTTCGAAAGGGAAAACAACAAAGTCACGAAACCGCCTTTCCTTTCGCAGCCTGTTCCATCCACACTTGAGAAAAAGCCCAACCATAAGATCCCAATTGAAGTGCAATCAGAAGACGAATCAAGTGCATCATCTGAAAGTGTTGATACATTTTCAGATGGAGAAGAGTGTAGCCACGATAGCGTAATAAGCGATTTGTCAGATTTGCATATACATCATTAATTCCATGATCTTGGTCAGTACCTAAAATAAAATAAATTACTATATAAATACCTAAAATAAGATGTGAACTCTACCTCCATTTGTCGATAGAACTTCCCTAAAGCAAGACAAAACATTTAAAAAACTTACTTTGATCTCGATGGTCAATGTCGAGCCATTAAAGGCATGCATATACATCATTAATTCCATGATCTTGGTCAATACCTAAAATAAGATAAATTACTATATAAATACCTAAAATAAGATGTGAACTCTACCTCCATTTGTCGATAGAACTTCCCTAAAGCAAGAAAAAACATTTAAAAAACTTACTTTGATCTCGATGGTCAATGTCGAGCCATTAAAGACAGCAACCGCAGTAATTCCATGATCTTGGTCAATACCTAAAATAAGATAAATTACTATATAAATACCTAAAATAAGATAAATTACTATATAAAGCAAATTTTTGATGCCTGAACAAAATAAAAAGCATTGACTTACAACCTCCTCCAATTCAGAGGATACTAGTGTGACCTGGCCTTTATTGGAAGTTATCAGCCGGACTTTATCCTTTTCATGGTAACTTAGACTTCTCAGCTCTGAATATTCGTGAACAATCTGCCCAACGGACTTTCCAACCGCACAGTTCCACTTATTGAACGATCCATCAGCTCGAGAGACAGAACTTCAGCTCCTTTATCGATAAATTAGACACCAGTCACACCTAAAAATGAAAACACCAAGTAGAATATAACTTACGTCTTTTATGACCAATCATTGTTATCTCGCATATGCGCCATCGAAAATCCCTAAATAAATCCATAACTCGAATCAATTTTTTAAAAAATTACTAACTAACACAACTGCTTAAGCAAAATTGTAAAATTCAGAAAAAATGGATACGATTTTTGAGATCAGCACCATCGAAAACCCCTAAATCCATTATTCAAAACAATTTTTAAAAAATTACTAATTAACACTACTGCCTAAGCAAAATTGTAAAATTCAGAAAAAATGGATACGATTTTTGAGATCAGCACCATCGAAAACCCCTAAATCCATTATTCAAAACAATTTTTAAAAAATTACTAATTAACACTACTGCCTAAGCAAAATTGTAAAATTCAGAAAAAATGGATACGATTTTTGAGATCAGCACCATCGAAAACCCCTAAATCCATTATTCAAAACAATTTTTAAAAAATTACTAATTAACACTACTGCCTAAGCAAAATTGTAAAATTCAGAAAAAATGGATACGATTTTTGAGATCAGCACCATCGAAAACCCCTAAATCCATTATTCAAAACAATTTTTAAAAAATTACTAATTAACACTACTGCCTAAGCAAAATTGTAAAATTCACAAAAAATGGATACGATTTTTGAAATCCGCGCCATCGAAAACCTCCCCCCCCTCTCCTTTTTTTAGCGGACCATTCCGCAGCGGACCATTCCGCACAGCGGACCTTTCCGTCCAGCGGACCTTTCCGCGCAGCGGACCTTTCCGTCCTTCGTGCAAAAATGAATGTCTTGAAATTTTAGCTGCCGCTTTTAAGGCAAATATTGAAAGATCGTTGCAGACGAAAGAGTATAAAAAACAAGGAGATATGGCTATATAGAAAACATCTTTTTCGATATTAAGTTTTTGCTACACAGTATCGGTTGAATTCAAACGAAATGTCAAAAACGAATTTTTCGTATGGTTTTCCGACCAAAAAATATTTTTCTCGGAATTATTTTATTTTTTGTGAATTTTGACACTTTGCTTGGACGAAATTCAAAAGTGGGCGGGAGACATTTTTGTTCTATAATATTTTGGGTTGCCGTGCAAAGATCCGATCAAAAACGTTTTTCCTCCTGCCGCCTCGCTCCATTCTCATTTGCCTCTCGTCTACAATCATTTTTCAGTGTCAAGGCTGAGCCTACAAAGTGAAAGCTACGATTTTCAAGTATTGATTCGTGACAAGATAATTGCTTTAGGCGTGCCACGAAGATTTCAGTAAAATTTTGTCTCCACTTGCTGAACTATCTGAAAGTTTTATCCCCAAAAGTTTTTGCTCGCACTCTCCAGCGGCAACCGGATTTTCAATTTTGCTTTTAAGAGAGCACGCGAAATGAGGAGAGTCGGACAGACAAAAAAAATTGAATTTTCACTCAAAAAAATGTTTTTGTTTCCGCCGGAAAAAGGAAAATTCCAATTTAAATTTGCGAAAAATGCATTTTTTCTGTAGTATGTAAAAAATGAATTCTTTGAATTCTTTCATGATCTTTGAACTCAAAATTCTGCGTCAAACTTTTTTCCTACACATTTTCGTTTTATTTCACAATTACGTCTACTTCATAGCCCATTAAAAAACTTTGCAAAACCCTTCTCCGAATACCTGTTTGTGGACCAGAATATACGGCCCACACCTACATAATCCTCGGCATCCATTACGGGGCATTTGGGTAGTTCCGGAGACAAAGCAAAACTATTATCGGAAAAAAAGTAAATTACTAATAGGAATTGGTAATCCTCTTGTTCCGCTAAACGTTTTTGTCCGTTATTGATGCTCTTAATCTTCATTTGATAGCATTTGTCTCACTTTGGAAAAAATGATTTGTCGTAGCGAAAAATGGGAACGCCCGCAACGCAAAGCAAAAAAAAACAAAAAACGAAAATTCACTGTTCAAAATTGTGTTTTTTGCTCAAAATGCACTGCGTATTAGCCTGTCGGAAAAATAACGGCGGAACACAAATTTTTGTCTCCTGGATGGTCCACTTTTGAGCCCGAAAAATATATTTACAGGGGAAATACTCCAAATGCGACGCTCAGATTTTTTTGAAACTGGGCACAAATTTAAAATAATTTTTTCTAAGATGTATGCGAGAATCCTAGCTCGCGCATTGCAGAAACAACCGAGATTTTTAGATCGATATTCGGCCAAAATTTAAGACTTTTTGCCGATTTTCGGCACGAAAAGTTTCATGCCTATTTCTACCGTAAAGGATAATGTTTCTACAAAAAATCAAATTTTTCCGCGCGAAACTGCCAAAGTTATGGCCAAAAAGCGTTTTTCCCTCTGACCGCTCTCCACGTTTAGCGTGCTCTCTCGGCGGCAAAAATCGTTCGATATCTTGGCGGCGCCCGCAAAACGCGAGCTAAAACTTTCAGGAATTGATATTTAGTTCACACCCGACGTGTGTGCAAAATTTAAAGAAAATCTGAGCGTCACACTTGGAGTACTTCCCCTGTTAATAAAGAATTAAATTTAGAAAAAACTAAAAACACTTCTTGTAGAGAAGAAAAAGCTGTATCAAATAAATATAGTCATTTTGCCAAACAGTAAACAAATTACTTTCTGAACAACCCAATAGTAAAATTCCGGTTGCCCACCTCATCGTTCTCTCCACATTGACTGTCTGAAATCGTTGAATAACTTCGCTGCGCCCGTACAGGCTGACAAAATAAAATACGTCCTGTTTTACACATTAACACTAAATTTGAAAACAAAATCTGACTATTCAATCTTGAGCTCTTGCTCTTTTAGTCAAAATCATTTTCTCTCCCACAATTTTTATTTCCTTTCTCTAAAATCTGCCAAAACCGGAAAGAGAATTTCCAAAATTTCAATTCTTCAACTCAAAAGAATTCCCGCTTCTTGCGTCCTCTGAACCCTGATGTTTGCCCTATAGTCCAAAATTGGGCATTGGGAAATGCAAATTGTTGCGAATCAATTGCCCATTATCGCGCAGACATTAATCCCGCCTGACGGGGGAAATTTAAATGAGCTCGTTTTTAAATTATTTATGACACGGTTGGAGAGGAAATTTTCGAACGTGTGAGAATGTTTGAGAATCGTCGGCTAAGCGCGTTGAGCAAAAAACGGCTGGCAAAAATAGTCGAACGTAGACCAACGAATGCAACGTAGACTGACCATTTATGTGAGGCAATTTCACGCCAGGATTCTTGACCTCAAAATAGGTCGAGCGAAAAAACCACATGGAATTTTGTGCTGGCTTAGGAAAATATGGGAAAATGGTGTTAAAAATAGCCGGAATGCTTTTGTATCAGTCTGTCGGGAAAATAATGAGCACATTGTCGCATCGAAAATCGCATCGCTGCAGAGAAAATGAAGTGTGCCGCGGCAAAATCAGTTTTTTTCAGCTCGGCGACGCGACCGGCGCAGCGACTTGATGCTCATTATTTTCCCGACAGACTGAGATAACAAGTTTTAGGGACAAGAAAAACAATTTTTTAATAAGAAACTAAGTTCTCCAAATGCAACTGATCGTGTTATATAATAATTTTCCAAGGCTACCGCGGAGAGACGGGCAGAGAAAGAAAATTTTTTGAATGTTTCTACTTGTTCTAATGATCTTCCCGTACTGCCAAACACTTCAAAATCTAAATTCCCAAACTTTCGTATATCAGTCTGTCGGGAAAATACTGTGGATTCATAACACCTTGAGATCACTCATCATCGCTTTGTGACGGCTAGGAATTTGGTGCATGACTCCGACGAGAGGAGACATTTTGCAGCCACAAATCCACAATATTTTCCCGACACGCTTATAAAGAAAAAACCACCCGAAATTCACCCAAATACGATTAATGACCAAAGAGAACGTCTCGGCTAAGTAAATAGACGCCAAGCCGAAATGTGTTCGAAAAAAGTCCACGGGAGCGACTTAAGCGGAAGTGCCGGAAATGACCCGTTTAAGACGCATGCAAATCACCTGCGGCGCCGAAGAAGTTCGAAAAGCAACTGCGAGTACGTCTCTTCGAAAGTACGTGCCAAACGAATTTTTCGAATTTCGAAAAATTTTATAGAATTTCGACTTTGTTTGGAGACAAGTTTTTCTGCAAATCTCACTTTTGTCTGGAAAGAAAAACACTTGAGCTTTCAGAAAAAATTCTTTTCAAAATTTTATAGTAAAGTTGAAATTCTAAACTTTGAATAAGTGCGGAACCATTAAAGACTTGGAGAATTTCGTCGA